TGTTTGCCTATTGTCCTGTAGCCCATCCCAGCCTTGTGCAGGTCTACAATTTTGTCCCTAGTGTCCTTAGACAGCTCTTTGGTCTTTCCCATAGTGGAGAAGTTGGAGTCTGATAGATTGAGTGTGTGGACAGGTGTCTTTTATACAGGTAACGAGTTCAAACAGGTGCAATTAATACAGGCAATGAGTGGAAGATAGGAGGGCTTCTTAAAGACAAACTAACAGGTCTGTGAGAGCCAGAATTCTTGCTGGTTGGTAGGTGATCAAATACTTATTTCATGCAATAAAATGGAAATAAATTATTTAAAAATCTAACAATGTGATTTACTGGAATTTTTTTGTAGATTCTGTCTCTCACAGTTGAGGTGTACCTACGATGAACATTACAGAACTGTCCATTCTCTGTAAGTGAGAAAACTTGAAAAATTGGCAGTGTATCAAATACTTATTTGCCCCACTGTAGTTCTTCTTCAGAACATTTGTTTCACTATGTGAGATATGCCCCTCATGTATTCACAGAAGTACTTATACCATTACACCATAACTAATGTCTGTCAAAACCCTCAGTCTAATATAAACTGAGGGTCTATATAGAGCATCTCACAGATCTCATAGAGCATCTCTTCCAGTGTCATAACTTAACTATCTTAACTGCTTTCAGTCGCAACTCTGTTACCAGGCAGTAGTAGCAAGCAAGTGGGTCCGAATGGCTTCACCACTGGTAGTTTTTCTTCACTCGCTGGCCAGTCTCAAAAACAGCAGTTTTCTTATTCAGTTTTCATCAGGCTAACCACAACGTTAGTTTGGCTACTCTAGGCAAGCTAACATCATCAGGAGCTAGCTATTGTGCATTATCACACCAGACATTTTTCCCCTTTAAGCACACCAGCTAAATGGACACAACTGCACAGCTGGCCCTATTTAAAGGAATCTCCATCCAGGATACACATTCCCGAGCCTTGTTCATGTAGTGAGTGTGGGCTCCTCAGTGGACCTGCCTCATCCGCACACTTCAACATGAAAGCGTGCTGGTGGTCAGTCGTCAAAATGAGTCTGTCCGGCAAAACGAGGGTCTACATATCCCAAAGTGAGACACTGAAACAAATGCTATGAAAGAGAATGATTCTTTGAGTGAGACATCTCACCAGACCTGATCATCTTTCTTACTGCTGGGGCGAAGCAAGAAGAAGTCTGCTTGTTTTGAATGATGATGCACTGGGCCTGTATAAGGTTAAGAGCTTTGACACACATTATCATGACTGCCAGCCACTCAGGGCTGGCGTAATGGTTTAGGTGCCTCTGTGAATACAAGAGGGGGCATATCCCAAAGTCAGAGATCGCACTCATACTACTCAGAAAACAGGGGTTACAGAAGTAGCCTAAAGTTTCATATCTACACTTTTCCAGATGATTCAATATCATAAAATAGAAAGTCACTTTCGGCTTTTCCCGTTTAGGGGTCGCCACAGCGAATCGTCACACTGACTCCTCGCATGTTGACATTTGGCACATGTTTTACGCCGGATGCCCTTCCTGACACAACCCTGATTCGAACCCGGGCCGCAGCGGTGAGAGCACTTTAACCACTAGCCTACCAGGGACGGCTTAAATGTTATTAAAAGCCACTCCAGTTAAAGCCCACCTCCTGCTCAGAAAGACCATCTATGATTTCAGAAATCTCGTGCTCGCTTCTTGCAATTGTTGCAGAGAGGCCTGTTCCTCTTTGTCCAACCCTGTGGAGAACAGGGACATATTGTGTTACACATGTTGTATTCAGTTAAATTGTTGTACTCACATGTTGTGCAAAGACAGTTATCAGTTCATTCCATTCTTTTCTGGGGAAACAAAATTTCCAAGTTGTAATGACTTATTCAGTCATTTCTTTTCCAAACAAAATCAAGCCAAACTGTTAAAATGAGAAACAACATAAACACAATAACTGTACCCACTCTTACTAAATAAAGGTCTCTCAGACCAGTTATTATTACTTGCTTCCTGCTTCATAGTTTAACAGTCTGCATAAACAGTGTTAGCATGCAAACTCTCACTTGGAAAGTTCAATGAAAGTACAAAGCGTCAAGGACAGGAACGATCATAGACTGGACCCAGACCTTAACTCTCAACCAGAAAGACAGTGTCTCTGCCCAAAGTAGGCCATCACACACTACCTAGTGTCCTCCATTTGGGTGATAACTTAAGAGACATCCTAAATATGGTGGAGACGTGTGGCTGCAGTTCTTGTTAACAATAGTAAAGCATCAAAAGACTGCCAGAGTCCATCTTATATCAAGTACATGCATATAGTAGATCCTTCTTCAGTCCTGTCCTGTAATGGTACAGTCTTGTGACACTACAACATTACATACAAGCTAATAGTTATATTCAATTTTAGGCCTCATCATAAAATCTGCTCTGGCAATAAGTAGTTTGGAGCTGAGTCACCCTGTACAGAGATGTAAAACCATGGCAAGAACTATCTCAGTATACAGTGTAGAACATGCAGCAACCCATGAAGCAAACTGAGTACAGTTAATGTCCTTCCATCAGCCAATTGTGTGTCTGTATTAAACTAGAAAAAGATTAGTTGATCAAGAGAAAATTCAACAGACTGATAATTCAAAATGCCAGAAAATTAACGGATTCCAACTTCTGTTTTTTTTAGTCTTCTATGACACACTGAACATGTCTGTGGGTTTGGGAGTTTGGTCAATAAAATTGGACAGTTTCAATATGCAAACCTGGGATCACTGAAATTGTGATGGGGAGTTTTAAATATTATCTGACATCTAACACCCCAATCAATCATTCCCTAAACAAGTAGCAGATGGAGAATGAAAAGTTGTAGTTAGTTAAAGCCCCAGCCTGAAAATAAAGTACGTCTTTTTTCCGGTATAAACCAATACACCCGATGGAGTGGATGAGGACGGCTGTCAAGAGTGTGTGAACTGTATGAGTGTGCTTCTGAACAAACAACCAATCATAGCCAACCATAAACTGTATCACAAATATAGTACTGCTCACAGGTAAAGACTGTTACCTCTGGAAGCGCTCCTGCTGCTCTCTCTGCTTGCGGATCTCAGGGAATTGCCTTTCATAGTACTCCCGTGTCCTGCTCTCCTTGGCTTTGCGTCTAGGGTTGTTTTCCATTCGCTCCACCTTTTTCTCCCACGCTTCCATCAGCTGGTCATAGCGCTGGCAGATCTTCTGTTCCTGCGTACACAGCACAAAAAATGCACAACTGTATCAGAAGTGGGCATCCATCACCACAGTAAAGTCAGCAGAACTTCTTGCCAATGCAGTGAATCAAAAGCTCCAGAAGGAATATGGTTATGAATATTACGAGTGTGTTATTTTCAAATCCTCAAACTCTGTCAGCTACAAACACACTGAATTATTAAAATACTGACTGTAATAGGAATTAAAAGGGTACTTATCTTCTGTTGATATGATGTGACCTTAATAGGTTACTTAAAATATGGGTTGTTTTGATAAAAACGTCTCACAGAGCTTACTAAAAAGGACAACTGACCCCAAACAAGCACTAATTATATAGGATTTGTACAGTGGTGAAGAAATTGAATATTGAATATTTTTCTTCTTGAGCAATGAATAGAGTTCAGTTTGTTAGAGGTACAGTTGATGTAATATGTTTTTAGCTCTCGGTCACTGTGGAGAAGAGGCAAAACAGATGCAGATAATGAAAACAATTATTAATCGAACCATCAGGCTAACTTGCAACAGTGGCTGCAACATTTCTCGTTCCTAAAGGCTGTAGGTGAATGTGAACAGATTAGTGCGCATTTTATTTTGAAAACAAAGTATACACAATTACAGACAGGTTGTGGAAACCTGAAATGAGAACAGCAGAGTTGAGCGAGTATGTGCTGCTTAGGAAATGACTGTGTTTGCTGTGGGCTTGTGTCTGCCTCTCACATTGCCTAATTCAGTGTCCTGACAGTTTGGCACAGTTTGTTCTGATGCAAATATTCCGTTTACAAACAGCTTCTGAAAGCTCATTGCCATTTTGTTACAGCAACTTACTTTCTAGCATATATGTGTATTTACAGTTCTTAATAAATTGATACTACAGTAGAAAGGGCAAAACTTTGTTTTCTAGAATACTAATACTTTTTTGTATCATACAATAAAAATCAACTCATTTCCAGAAGTGTAAGAGTTAAAATGTTTAGCGAAAATATGGAATGACTCTTGCACTGGGAGGACAATACAGCCGTGTTTCCACCCTTTGCCACACAGGACAAACTAGTCACCTTCCTCTTGGAATGAAGCCATGTGCCATTGTTTGGAGCCCAAAGGTCTGTTTGACACAGAGTCAGAGAAAGGTGAGACTCACTGGGCTATTGCAGTACAAAAATAGGCAAGTGTTTCAACATGTGAGGATTATTAAATATGACAGCAGTGCATGGCTCAGAACTGTTCTTTCATGTAACAACATTATTATTTTGCTGCAAACAAAAGCAGTTACTAGCAAACATAATACTTTTCAACAAATGGCCAACCTGTACTGTAAATACATCAGTACCTTATTTTTATTAGCAAGATGGTTCAAGGAAAGGCAATACTGGTCAGTCAGTTTAGTTGAGAATGTAATATCTCAACAACTCTAATCAAATCAAATTTATTTATATAGCACTTTAAAAACAACATCCAGTTGACCAAAGTACTTTACATAGACAGAATAAAATCACGATAAATAACTCAAATAAAATAAAAAGATTCAGTGCAAAAATAAAACAATAACTCAGACACACAGATGACACACATTCAATAAATTAGATTAAAAGGAATGCATCAGGCTCTACTGTCTATTAAAAGCCAAGGCAAATAAGTATGTTTTAAGCAAGGATTTAAAAGTAGTCAGGTGAGCAGCTGATCTAACATTAAAAGGTAGACTATTCCACAATTTAGGGCCTGCAACAGTAAAAGCACGATCACCCTAGCGTTTATATCTGGCCATAGGAACCTGTAAAAGAAACTTGAAGATCTGAGGGACCTTGTAGGTTTGTGCCAATGCACTAATTCAGTGAAGTAAAATGGTGCCAAACCATTACGAGTCTTAAAAACAAAATTAACAGTTTAAAGTCAATTCTAAAATGGACTGGAAGCCAGTGGAAAAAAGCCAGAACCGGGGTTATATGCTCAAATTTTCTGGTACTTTTCAGAAGACGAGCAGCAGCGTTTTGAACCATCTGAAGACGAGAGAGGGAGGACTGGTTAACACCATAGTATAGAGCATTGCAATAGTCAAGGCCGGGAGGTGATAAAAGCATGGATAGCAATCTCAAAATCATTAAATAACTATTGGATGAATTGCCATAAAATGAATGTGTCTGAAATCCTGTTCAGACATTCATAATTTTCTGACTTTTCCTGGAGTGCCACCATGAGGCTGACATTTGAGATTTTAAGTGAAACACCTCAACAACTTCATTCCATGGTTCATCATCAAATATTTGTAAAGCTAATGACATCCCTATAGCCTCAGCTGTACATTGCAGCTAACACACTAAACTAAGGTGGCACATGGTATTTACAAATGTGAGAATGTTAGCATGCTGACATTAGCATTTAGCCCAAACCATAGAGGTGCCTAAGTACAGCTTCACATAGCTGCTGCAAATGCTTAGTGTGGCTGATTAATTTGGTTTTACTGCAGCCCATAATTGTTTGATTTCACACTACATGCACAAAGACCTAGTAATTACAAAAGCTTCTTGTTTTAAGAATTATATAAACCCAGCACCAAATGTTCACTGAGCTCCAGTAGTTTCTATCCAACAACATAAGGATAATCACCTTTATTGGCCAAGTATGTTACACACAAGGAATTTGTTTCCAGTACAGAACCAATGGCAACCATCTGCGGCGCCACCTCAACCGACGGCTCTAACCGTCGGGGGCAACAGGGGGGTTCAGTGTCTTGCCCAAGGACACTTCGACACGTGGACTGCAGGCACCGAGATTCGAACCTTCAACCTTCTGGTTGAGAGACAACTGCTCTACCCTCCCCCATGGGGAGGCGACAATCGACAGTGAACAATCGACATGGACAATCAAGTAACTACAACATTGTTTTCTGAACTGAATTTCAAGATCACAAAAAGATACCAAGTAGAATCATGCACGTAAAGTGTTTATGTGTAATATTAAGGCTGCATTCATTCTGGGTCAGACTTAGCAATGCACCATCTTGTGTCTACCTTCTGAATTTTAATTACAGAAATCAAAAAAACTGTGTTTTGTTGAATTTGTGCAAAGTACCAAGAATGTGTCAATATTCTGTAGCTTTAGGCAAACAAAGAAGATCCTGCATATCAGAAGCTTTAACATTCCCAATATTTCCACTGCTCAGCTGAGGTCACCTGAGTATAAACAGTCAGGTGATATGATACGACTGTTAGTGACCATAGGAATTGGTGGCACTGCTAATGATGTGTCAAGAGCACACCAGAAACTTCCACCATGCTTTCCTAACAACAGAGATACTTACCCTTTGTTTACGAGCGTGGTTTCTCCTCTTAAAAAACAAAATCAGCTTCTTCCTCATGACTTGGTTGCTGAAAAAGAACAAAACTTATTCAAGGAAATGAAGAGATTACTTTGATCATTACCAAAATTACTGTAGTGTTTAGCAGAAATCATTCAAACCTACACAGCACATAAACTAAGTAATGCCATAGTACGACTGTATTATTTCAGCTGAGAAGACCTAGTCACTACAAAGCCACTACAGAAGTATCTCAGTAGAACTCACTGAGGGATAGAGCTTAGATTTTTTTTCCAGTACCCCTGCCAAAATATATTAAACACATCACTGTTTTTTTTTAGAATGTGGCAAGTACAAAGAACTGGGAACTCATCTGTTTACTCATAATAGAGGCTTGTAGGTAGAAAACAGTGAGGAAGCTGACCCTGAGAGCACAGCATATAGAGCAGATTCACACAGAGGTAGTGCCTGTCTTGATAAAAGACTGAACCAGAAGAAATGTTCTCATACTGCACAATGATAAGGGTTTTATCCTAGATGATATGACAACACAGCCCTACACTAAACACAGCTGCTGACTTAAGTGAATTTTTTCCACTTCATATCTCAATCACTCTCAATGTCAGCAGAGCAACTCAATCAGGTGACTCAGCAGATTAGACTTAATGGCTGGGTTTATTTTTTAACATTTTGCTCAGCTGAGATGGTTCCTATACTCTAAGTGTGGTAAGCATCATGGCTGCTGCATTGTCCTTGCACTTTGCTGACAGATGTTCATGAAATGAATCAGTGGAACAAATTTGGGTACTCACGTCTTGATGTTGTCATGATACACCTTTGTGTCTGATGGCTGATTGTATAAAGGCTAAGAAAAGAAAAGAAGACCAGGAAGAGGTTGTGGATGCATCTCTGGCTATTAGGCAAACAGCAACAGCTACCTTACAACTGAGCTAAGAATTATTGACAACATTTTTAATAACCATTGAATCACATACCAGTTCAACTTTGGGACCAAGACCTTCCAATATTTTATGGGCTTCTTCTGCCTTTTTCTAGAAAAAGAGGACATGAGTTGAAAAATTCATTACAAGACCTTCCAAAAGCAAAAAGAAACTGCAATCTGAGCATTCTCAAAAGATATATATGGCTTAATACTGATTCTTAGAGATGATATTTTATAGTTGGACATTTTATTGGTTACAGCATAAAGGGAAGCTTCAATTATGAAAGAACCTAAATGTGGCCATGCACGGGTTAAAGCATTCAACCATTTTAAGTACAATTTAACTGACCAATTTAAGCAACAATATGCAAGTTCTGCAAAGTCAGCCAGCCCTGCTCACCCTGCTACCACCTTCCTCCACTCAGCCTTCACCTATATCCTCTCCGCATTCACCAGCTAATGCACAAATAATAATCACCTTTATTTGGCCAAGTATGTTACACACAAGGAATTTGTTTCTGGTACAGAACTGAGGAAGCCATCTGCAGCACCAACTCAACCAATGGCTCTAACCATTGGCGGCAATTTGGAAGTTCAGTGTCTTGCCCGAGAACACTTTGAAATGTGGACTGCAGGGACCATGATTCGAACCTCCGACCCTGCGGTTGGGAGACGACTGCTCTACCCACTGAACCACAGTCGCCCCCACAAATCAGGCGCTTGCTAGCCTGTGAGCCAACCACAGCGATATCCTCTGGCAGCTAATACTAGCTTACAATGAGAGGAGTAGTAACCTTTAGTTGACAACCATGAGCACCCAACACTCACTCTGACCTTCTCTGACTGTTTAGAAGGTTGAGGCTTGCTCAGAAAGGGGGATACCTATGCACTGCTGCCAGGTTTCTCAATGAGTCTGGGTGGCAGAAGCCTTTGACAACACTGTATTAAGATATGTTTAGGAGTATATTTCAACTAAATAATTTTTGAAAAAGATACATACTGTGATCTGTAATACAAAAAGGTTCTGATAAAATATAAACTAAAATAAATGCAGATAACATTAAGTCTTACATTTGGAAAAATTGATGCTTGTGCAAACAGACAGATTTCATTTGCTCGTGAAAACAAGAGGAGGGGGAATCTGTCTCTACATAAATGAAGGTTGGTGCATAGATGTCACGGTGCTCCAGAGGACATGTAACACAGACTTAGAGACTCTCTTTATCAATTGCAAACCTTTTTATTCTCCCCGAGAATTTAATTTTTTCCATTCTAATTGGAGCGTACATAAGGCCGCAGGCCCATGCTAGTGCACTACAGCTCCTGGCAGAATAGAAAACTAGCCTGGAACTAGCACATCCCGACTCTCCAATCATTGTTCTAGGGGACTTTAACAGAGCAAATCTCTCCCACAAACTGCCCAAATACAGACAGCACGTCACCTGTCCCACCAGGGACAAAGTCACACTGGACCACTGCTACACAACAATAAAAGACGCCTATCACTCTGTCCCCCGCGCAGCCCTCGGACTTTCTGATCACTGTATGGTCCATCTTATTCCACCCTACAGGCAGAAACTTAAAGCTGCGAAGCCTGTGGTCAAAACAGTGAAGAACTGGACTGAGGAGGCCAAGTCAGAGCTACAGGCCTGCTTTGACTGTACAGACTGGAGTGTATTTGAGACTGCAGCTACAGACCTGGACAAACTCACTGACACTGTGACATCTTATATCAGCTTCTGTGAGGATGT